AAGTATCGATACTTGCAGCCTTTTTTCTCAAATATGTGGACTTTCAACTATTTTACCTATAGATGCCTTACTACCTTAAATTGAAACATGAGTGTGCACAGAAATAACATGAGGAATTGTACATGGATTCTTAGATTTCATTTTAAACCAAAATTGCATGGTTTCAAAGGAAATTGCGTAGTTTTTAAAAGTTCCTTCTTACAATTGCTTGTTCGTTTTTTATATCCCTCATTGCATTTATGCTCACCACTTTCAAATTGCATGCTTCGAATTTCAAATCCAAAGGTAGTTAAATCATAGATTAAGGAGTTTTACCCTGTACACACAAATTTTTTATTAAAATTTCTTGACTTGAAAATTATGAGACAAATACAAGTATTTGATGATGTAAGTGATAATCTCTTGAAATTCCTATGATTAATATCTTCATTTCATCTCCCAAGGTCACAAACTTGGACTTAGTCTTGATCACGAACTTGCTTGATTTTCATTTTCAAAGGTCTTCACGACTTAATCTTAATCACAAACATTTAATATCTAGACCACGAACTTCGTTGTCGCTTGATCACGAACTTCGCTGCCACTTAATCTTCACTTCAAAAGTTTTCTACTCTTCTTGATCTCTAAAATACTCCCAACCTTCGAATGCCTCCGAATCTTCGAATGCTTTTGAATGAATCAAAATGGCTTGGAGGAGCCCCCTATTTATAATGCTAAGTGAGAGACTTTGATGAAAATATAATCCTTTTGAATTATCTCTAAATTATTTTAATTTATTTATTGATAAATTATGATGACTCATTGTAAGTCTTTTGATTGGCCGAACTTTGAGTCCTTATGTTTTGATTAGCCAAAGTTAGGTATTATCTCCAAATTATCTTAATTTATTTAGAGATAAGGTAAACAATCTAATTTGAATTTTATCTCTAAATTAATATAATTATTAGAGATAATTTAAATGATCAATAATTAAATTTTGATTGGTCAAAAATATGAAGATTATCTCCAAATTATTTTGATTTATTTAGAGATAAATTGGATGACCAATAACTAATTTTTTGATTGGTCAAAATACAAATAGTATCTCCAAATTATTTTGATTTATTTGGAGATAAATTGGATGACCAAGAACTAATTTTTGATTTGTCTAATTTAAATATTATCTTCAAGTTATCTCAATAGATAAATATATACCAATCGGTGAATTGGTTCAACTATATGTCTTTAAAATAATATAACCAATAAATTAATTATTTTATAATTAATTATATAATTAAGATATTATTAAATCCACATGGCGACATGCAATTGGTTGATAATTTTTTTTCTTCTACATACCTATATCCCCAATTGGTAGGTGTTATCATGGCATTCAGTAATAGTTATCCCACACCTGAAGGTCATTCCATTGTACGGTCATGGGTCCATGCATGTGATAAAAGTCTTGTCCAGACATTAATGCAGCCACAAGTTGGTAGTATTTTGAGTTGGCGGATATTATGCACATATATATATATAACATGATATTTTGGAAATATGATGTGAGTTTCATATATGTATTGAATATACAGAAATGTACATATATGTATAATGAAGCAAGTTTCCACATGTATGATTGTAAGGTTGCATGCGTTTAGTAAGCTATGCATATTGGGCCCTCGCTTTGGTCATGTCAATTTTATATGAAAAATAACGAATTTAAAAATGTTATGTGAGAAATGTCATACCACAAAGAGTTTTTGTCGAGTTTACACGTGAACCTAATTAAAATGATTAAGAAGTCTTTGAGAGATTTAAAAGTATCCAAGTTGAGTCAAATCCAATTGACACAACTTAAAGATGGATTAGTTTATCCATTTATATTATATTTATTATTAAAATATTAAAAATAATTTTTAAATCAATATATTAACATTTGGAAATTAAATTAAATAAAAATAAAATATTCATTTATGTAACGATATCTCAAGTTGAACCTAAGCATCAAGTATCTTATTCAAAGCTTGACTTGAGCCAGGCCAAGCTTACGAGCTTGGCGAGCAACTCTATCTAGGACAAGTTCTATCACCCACTTTTATAATAAATTTGAAATTTGAATTCAAATTTCTAATTACAATTTTTTTGGTATTTATTAAAAGTTACTACTAAATTTTAAGTTTGCATGTCCCAAAAAAAAATTAACTTTCTAAACAAATGAAAATAGCATTTACCCAAAAAAAAAGATAAGTTACTCTTATTTTTTAAAATTTTGACCATAATTCGCTTTTGATCTATTATTATTAAAAATGGATACCTCGTCTCAAACTTTAAACACCGCTAATAAATTTTAAGAAATGACTAAAATACCCATGATAAAAGAAAACGCAAAATGTGGACTTTCAAACTCTCTCCTTCTCCAATGAACAAAAGTGCGCTGCCATTTTTAGATTCTTTCACAAAGCAAGAGAAATGTCCAAAACTCTCAAAAAAAATGTAAAAGAATTAAGAAAATAAATTTTAAGAAAATTAAGAAAAGAGCCGAACATTCATTTATGTAAATTACAAACTTTGCCTACTTTTCTATACAAAGCACTATCAAAAACATTAAATCTGCAATTTTTCCTTTTTTTACCTACTTGATGTTCACTCAAGAGAATGTGAAAAGCATTTTGGCCATTAATATTTAGAATCAGGCAAAATTGAGAGATCTGCCACAATTTTTGGAAGGTTTGCAATTTTCTTAAGCGAAAAAAACCTATTCTTTCTGATTGTTTCATCTTCCACCATAGCAAATGCTTGATTAAAAAATCATCAAGGGCTGCAATGGCTATGAGGATATTTCAATAAAATCAATCTCAAAAACGGGTTAATCATCAATTTTTTTTTTACTCAAAAAGATGTTGCATCTAAATATTTATCTCATTAATTGATGCATAACTTTCTATTTAAAAATAAAATTCGAATTCTCTTTTTTTTTTAATTAAAAAAATAAAAACTAATCTCATTTTAGGCTAAGAACTGCAACACCCATGTCTTCCTTTCCTTTGAAATTACTGGTATTGTTGTTTCGCGTCTTTGGCTCCATCTCTACTTCTGGCTTTACTAGACTTTTATAAAAATTGCTCAATCTTATCTATATAACATTAAAGTGCATGGGGTTTTGGTTGTTTCTGTTGGGTGGCTGTGCTTCAGTCGGTTTTGGATCTACAAAGTTGAGTCCTTTTTTTTATACCACCCAATTACCAAAGGTTGAATAAAAAGGCTGAAGAGGGTTTTTTTGGACGCCGACAAGCGACAGCCATCAGCCGTTCAATGATTAGAGGCGGCGACGCCAGCGGTGGCCAGAAGCCGGATTCTGGAAAAGGTGGTTGGTTTTTAAGAGAGAGGATCGTAGAGAGAAACTAAAAAGAGAAGAGAGAGCAAGGGAAAGGATAACATGGGAAAGAAAAGACCAGAAGGGTAAAATAAGTATTAAATTTATGCCACATTATCAAGTAGATGGAAACTCAAACAGTGAGGTAATGGCCAGACTTACATGTCTACCGACATATTATTTTGGGACAGAATATTTATTTTTTATATTAATAGATTAAAAATAAATTATGATTAAAATTTAAGAAGTAAAAATAATTTATTTAAAAAAATTAAATCAAGTCGAAAGATTTCTTAATATTGAATCAAACCAATGTTGATATAAGTAGGTTTAAAATCAATCAATCTTTACATATATATATATATATATTATGACAAATTATTACTCATTTAGTAGAATTTCAATCCCTTTTCTAGAAACAAAATATAAAAATTGCCAAATTAATAACTTTTGGCCATTTGACCCTAAGAAACAACCCGGCATTTCCCATGCCTTAGCAATATCTTGACCCAAATCTTATTCTTCGTGTCAGTGTGAAAATGCACCCAATTTGGGATCTGCTTCCCTCATATGTCATTATTTCAAATTAAAAAATAATAGACATATAGTGTGAAAGGAATAAGAGCTCTCAATTTGACAATGCTCCTACGCTAAGCATTACCTAGTTTGGCGCACAAAAGAACCTGAAACCCAATCTCTATGTGGAGAATTAGATTTATAAGAATTATTAATATTTGTGTGTGATTTACTTTTTGTGTTGATTTCAGTATTGAATATGTTTTTGTTTGAAGATTTTACTAATATCATTGAACAAAAAGCTCAAATTCAATATGACTAACACATACTAGGCTAATACGAAAAAGTAAAAACACTGAATTGATCGGACAATTATTATATGCAGCCATAGAAATGGTCTCCGGACACAATGTATTCTACCGATTTAAAGACTGATCATTCGTTTATGGGTGGATATATGGCTTAATATAAGCAATACTCAAAAGTGACTTGCGTTTTCTTTAAAGAGAGTACTGTTCGAGGTTCAACATTTTATCCTCTGAAAACTATAAGAAATTAGAAATGGGGTCCGTTTAGCTTAAATTAATAATGCTTCCCATTTCTTAACTAATTCATTTTGTACCCTAAATTATGTTGCATGTATTTAGTCAAACAACAGTGTTTCTAAGATTTAGAAGCTCTGGCTCTTTTATTGTCTTTATTTTTTTATAAAAAAAAAAAACATGTTTTAGTTGTCACTATATGACATAATATTTATGCGTACATCTCTAGTAAACTTTCTCCAATATCTGCCTAAGCATGATCAGGGGAAAGAAAACACGAGAAAAGGAAAGAACAACTCAAGCAAAGCATAATTAAAAAATTTCCTGCTATTTTATTAGTGCAGTGGCTGCTAGTTCAGATACGAAAGGCATGAGACATGAGGCCGGTGCTGACCAAAAGACATTTCAATCCTATCATTGTCGACGTTATTTAAAATATAAAGTATCATCCTATGAAATTTACATATTAACCCTCTCTCTTCCACTATAAGTACGTTGGAATTGCAAGCCCCCTATCCCACAAGATACACAATTACATCACACATTTCTAAACTTTATCCTTTAATCTCAAATAGAATAGCTTTTCATCCATGGCTTCACTCCAAAACTCCAACTTCGAAACCCTGATTCCAGCGGAAATCCTTGTAGCTCGCGTTACTCAAATCCATGGCAGCATTTCCAAGCTTGAGTCCCTTAGGCCATCAAAACAAGTCAATAGCCTCTTAACTCACCTTGTGAAATTATGTACCCTTCCTTCAGATATAGACATCGAGGCCTTACCCCAAGAGGTGCAAGACATGCGTGAGAACCTCATAATTCTATCTGGTCGCGCTGAAGGCTTGTTAGAGCTTGAATTCGCCACATTTCTATCCAAAATTCCCAAACCATTGAGCAATCTCAATCTCTTCCCTTATTATGGCAACTATGTCGAACTAGCCAGTTTGGAGTATAGAATTCTTAGTGAGAATGGTGTGGTGCAACCAAAGAAGGTAGCCTTTGTTGGCTCAGGTCCAATGCCTCTCACCTCTATTGTAATGGCTACTCATCACATGAAATCTACTCATTTTGATAACTTTGATATCGATGAAGCAGCGAATGATGTGGCTCGCCAGCTAATTGCATCCGATGTTGAGTTTGAGAAGAGGGTGAAGTTTGTGACCAACGACATAATGAAGGTAAGAGAGAAGCTTGGGGAATATGATTGTATATTTTTGGCAGCTTTGGTTGGGATGCGCAAAGAAGAGAAATTAACGATTGTTGGGCACATAGGGAAATACATGAAGGCAGGAGGGTTTTTGCTTGTGAGGAGTGCCAAAGGAGCTAGAGCATTCTTGTACCCTGCCTTGGAGCAGCATGACTTACCGGGTTTTGAACTACTTTCAATTTTTCATCCTACAAATGAATTGATCAACTCGGTCGTTCTCGTGAGGAAGCCCATTTCTCCAAATTAAGCTCTCCTTCTTATTAAATCGATGGTTAGGTCTTTCTATTTCTACAAGCCCATATCATGATTAGGGTGTCTATCAAAAGTAAGCAATGTGTTGTCCTTTCTTGTTTCAAGCTTGCCCTGTGCTTTTTTTTAATTTCTAGTTTCAAGTATGTTATTTTTGTATTTCCTTTGTTACTAGTTTGTTGCAAGGGTTATTAGTATTTTATCAATTTTTATTTTCATAACTCCCAAATTATTGATTGCTTTTATCACCGGCTATCGTTTGAATAATCAGAACCTTAAATAGGTATTTGGTCCATATATATGTATTAGCAATCCAGCAACATGGTTCGCTTCTTAATTACTTTGGATCAGCAGAACTCAGTTTGAGAACAAAAGAGATACAGAAGTGGCAGGAGGAGAGTGCTGTTAGGGAGAGGAAGACATTCTAATAATTAATTAACAGTATAGCTTTGGCGTATGGAAATAACGCTCCTGCAACTAAACAAAGCTTCAAAAAGTGCTCAAACTGTTTGTTTTGAAAGTTCTTCTGTTAAATTAATATCAACTAAACCAAACTAATAAGCAAACTTCCTCTAGATAAAGCTAGTGAACTACCATATTAAACAAATTAATAAACAGATTAATGCAAACAGTAATCTCTGTAGATCGTTTTTCCTATATATATCTTATGCCCAAAAGTAACTAGTTACGCATTATTTACAATATTTATGAACAATCTAAAATTAAGATGAAGTTATGTACACCAGTTCTTAAGAACCAACTTAATTAACACGCATCATGGGCTAAATCACTCTCTGTCATACAAGAGCCTTCTGGCTACTGGGAGGAGTAAGTTGCCAAGATTTGTAGACTATCAGGTGGTCCATGATCGCTTAACTGCGAACAGAGGAAGTAGGAGTTAAGCAGACAAAATCAGCAGATGGTTTGAAATCTGAACGTGAGGATTAACAAAGCATTCATCACCTGGTTGTCATCCATCTCCGAAACGGTATCATCACGTGATTTCGTTGTGCCATTGGAGGCCAATTCTGTCCCACCAAAATTACATGTTAGGCCTCTGGAACCTGGATATTGCACATTATTTGTACAGTCCACAATAAGCCCTCCATAATTTGGAATGCCACCTACGTGAACGTTTATTCGTTAAGAAATAATTGAGCAAGTGATGATGAAAAAGGCGTTGCTCCATACTACAAATTATCAAAACCAACGCAAGTATTGAATACAACTAAGTACCCGGGAAAAGATCTGGGACAGAAGCAACAGCAAAAGGGGACTGGAAAGCTACATCTGTTTCAGGTGCAAAACATGCATTTGAGAATGGATAAAATGGCGCACTGCTAGGAGTACTATGCTCGGAGCCCATATCATGAAAGTATGGTGATCGAGAGGTAGTCCCTGAAAGAGGCTCAGATCCAGGATTATGAAGCTGAATATTCAATCCTAAGCAGTAATTGTAATAACTAAAATGTTTGAAATCTGGCGTTTGAAAGTTTGGATCATCCAAACAACTATAAGGAACGGATTGATATGGTTTCTCTGGATCCAGCAAGCCGACATACGGTGTTCTATGCTGCGACATCACTGTATTGCCCCCTCTAATTGGATCGAGAAAGATAGAGTTCATGTCCTCGAAGGAGTGAAATGGATTAAAGCTTGGAACAGCTACACGATCAGCATTAAAATCGCCAGCTTCCCCATTTCTGCGGTTACTTCTCCTAGTGGATGAATATCCGGTAACACTTTTTATATCAAAACCTTGTTGGTTCATTTCAACTTTACGCTTCTTCAAGGACATTCTATATTTCTGTGACACAAAAAGATGAGGATCATAAGGAGCATGGACAAACCGTTTCGTCGTAGTATTACTCAACAAAATTTTACTATTATCTTTAGCCGCAATACAAATTAATATGGGTATAAGACTACTCTTACCTGCAGATGACTAGCGATATTTTCCCGAGTGAGTTCTGGTTCATTCATAACTTTAAGTATCCTTTTTGGATGCACCATTGAACCTTATTATCACAAAGAAATAATTTCAACGGCTAGGATATATAGAATAGCCAACATACACAGGCCCTTACACAGCAACTAATACTACTTACTCTTTGACAGTGTCTGAACAGCTTTTACAAACTTGGCGTCAAGGTCCGGAGTCCACACCAACCTCTTTTTCTTCTGACAACTAGAGGAGGTATCATCTAATCGAACGTTGTCTTTATCATCTTCAACTGTAATAGTAGCATGGGAATGTTCCAAAGGCTTTAGATTTTGGTGGTCCGACGTTTCTGCGTTGTCAGTAGATTGTTCAGAATCCCACATTTTATTCAGAGTAACGCTGTGCCAAATAGTATTCTTGATTTCCTGCACCCGAACGGGCTTTATGATGTAATCTACAGCCCCATAAATTAGACCCTTCATTATGTTTTGAAGACTGCCATCTCCAGTCACCACTGCAATTTCCGAAGCAAGATCAAAACCTTAAAAGTTGGCTAACTTAATTGGTAACATGAAAGAGCATAACAAATAAACAGGGAATCTGCTTGATATATATAAGCTTCGAAGGAAAATTTACTTACTTATCACCGGTAAATACATCTCAAGTCCTATAATCTCCAGAAGCTTAAAACCGTTCATGTTAGCACTATCAACATCAACAAGCACAATATTAAATTCATATTTTTTTGCTCTCAATATCTCTAGGGCTTCAGCTGCCGATGTTGTTGTTTTAACTGCATACCAAAACGGGAGGTGTTCAAAAAACAGCAAAAAATGCAGCTGTTCCAAACTATGACAACATGTTACATTAATTAAATTTTGATCTCCTTCATTAGAAAAAGATAATAAATATCAATTATCAATCTTCCTTTGCATTGACATTAACATTTCAATGAGCCATCAGTGACTTAAAATGCTTACATCTTGTGAAGATTATCATTTCCTTCCAAGACAATCTCCACCTGTGCAAATTAATGGCCTCAGGCCATTGTTCCCTTTTTCCTCCCTCAACAGCAACAGCATCAGCATATATATATGCTATTTGACAAGTATGAAAACATGATTTTGGTTCAGATATTTTATCAAACACCAATCCAATGATATTGAGTTTTTTCTTGACTTCTCAATAATTCAGACAGTATGTTTTTCTTCTCCTCAGCCAAAAGTGGGATCTTTAAGAATATTTATCAGTGAAAAGTACAGTGAAGGGTAAAGCTTGGAGGCTGCCCATAAAAGACATTACATCTAAAGGCATTGTGCCCAGAAACAAAGATCGAGCAATACAGTGCAAAAATCCCGCATAAAAGCAGAGACAAAAGCAGAACATTCAAACAATATTTCATGACATGATTTTCCAATCCATCAATTCCTAATCTATTGTACAGGGTTAATCAAGCAGTAAAAAAACTTCATTAATTGTGACAAAACTGCTGTCATTCTTTAACTTGACCAAATCAATTACTTATAGAAAGCACTAAAAAATGCTTTCGAAATTAAACTACATTAGATCTCATCAACAGCATCCCCAAACCCAAATTAAATTCCAGAGTTGTAAAAACTATAATTTTAACTAAACTTAAGCAAGTAAAACCCCAGCATGACTAATGCGTTAAAAGTCCGAATCTCAAAACATGAATAAGCAAAAAACATAGAGAGAAACAGCATATTGGATATACCTTTGTAGTTGCACTTATGGAGCACAGCACAAAGATACTGAAGGCTGAAAATCTGAGCGTCAATAGCAAGAACATGTAACTCGTGGACAGCATTATCATCAACTTCAACTACCGAATTCTCAGAGCCTTTATTAAGAAAACTCTCTTCCATGATGTAATTATACCGAGATACCTCAACTTAACAAAGACTTTAAATAGCCAAGGGCCCAGGATAATTGCAGGTTACACCGCCCTAAGAGAAGCCAATTAAAGAAAGGTGTGGAGATCCCTTTAATTGAGGAGATGCAATACTATATTGCCTATAAATTTCTCATTTATGGAAAGTGGATGATTTACTTTCCAATCAAGGTCGCCTCATGCAAAGTCGGTATGCGTGAATTTTCAAAGTTTGCCCTCCTTAATTTCTATACATAACAATTAAATTTATTATATTTGTTTGCTATAGTGTAGCTTGATCATCAAGCTGCACGATAAGGAAACCGAATTGGCTCACCTGCACCTTTCCATTTTAATTTGTCCCTAATCAAAAAGAAAAACCACTCATCCCATCTTAATTTAAACAATTTTCTATTGAAATTCAATCTCATATAACAAATATGTTAATTAAGTAGAATGAAAATCTTTTGAGATGATAAAAGAGAAAGGAATTTGTTTTTTATTCAACCAATCAAGATGATTTTGTTGATTATTCACTAATAAAACAATGGATGGATACATGCATAAAAGATATCCAAAGGTTAAAGAGCTGGGAAAAGAAAATAAACAACACTAGGTGATATTCAATAGCGAAGAGGCTAACAAGATCCGCTGTATGCCACAGAAGCCCGAAGAAAACAGTAAAAGGATAGAAAATATAGAATTTTTGTCAATATACCAAACTTGATCAGAGAACCCTTAAAAGAATTACAATGCGCACAACCGAACACAGTAGAAAGGTATTTTTTTAATATAAAATCGGGCCAAGTTGTGCTTGGGCTCACCCTGCCAAAAAATCGTATATGGGATAGTCAATTTAATTTAATATATTAATTAGTTAAAATTTCAACATTTTTTTTTATTAAAAGTCTTTCAGTCTTTAATAAAAACAAATTATCAAATTAAAAAAGAATTAAATCATATTTTAATTTTCAATAATTTAAAATTTTTCAAAATATCAATAAACCGCTATTAACAAAATGGTGCACTTTACTATAATTGGGAAAGGCATTGATTTAAACGATGCTCATCATCTGTTTGCCTCGGCCTTCTCTTCTTCAAACCCCGACCTGCTATCCTCTGTACAAGTATTCAATATGCAAGCCTTGTTCAATCAACTGTATCTTAATGGAAAAAGGCAAATCTTTAAATCTTTAAATTTTAGGAACAAGTCGCATTCTGTGAGGATTAGTTTACTTTTATATTGGTTTTGTTTGATTTATTTATTAATCTCGTCCATTGAATGTACTGTTTGGTATGTATTAAAAGTTATTTGATTTTGAATTTAATTTCTTTGTAAAATATGTAACCTCATAACAAATTAAATAGTTTATCAAACACCTTTAACCATAAAAGAATAAGATTATTGTGTTGGATTTTGTACCAAACATAATCTCCTTCTAATCAATTGCTTTTGAGGGGCGGCCAAAAACGAAAAACAATAAAAGTTAAAAAATTTTAAAACTAATACGTTGAACTTAACCAATAATTAAAAATTTTATAATAAATAATAATTTTATATAATATGTAAATAAAAAAATTTATAATAATCATTTAAGAAAATTGTGACCGACAATATTGTTTTTTAAATTCAAATTCATCAATTATTGACTTTGTATAAAAAACACTAATTATGTCTTTTTTAATATAAATAACTAAATTATCTATAAAAAACTCATCATTCATATTTTCACAATTTTTATTATTAAAAAGACTTTCTCTGTAATTATTGTAAAAACTAGAAAAATCAAAATAAGATGAATTAATTTATTAATTAAGAGTTTTTAATTCACACTGCTCTTTTTCATGAGCTAAAATGTTAAGATTTGATGGCTCAAGTGTAGGAGATGTAGACCCTAATTTTTTTATTATGGATAAATAATATTTTTATGTGTGCTTTTCCCCTGATTTTACATTTAGCTTTTCCCCAAAAGAGTTGTTATTGATAGCCCAAAAGAGCTGTTATTTAAATTAAAAGCTATTAATTTAAATAAAATGTTTCTAAAAAAATATACAAAAGATATAATAATAAATGAGGTGTTAAATTACATTAAAATATTTAATATATTGTTAAACAAAATTATAAATGCACTCGTGTGAGATCATTTATAATTTTATTTTGGCATAGCATACGACGTTGTTTATTTTGTTAATGAGATGAGAACCCTGATGATGGGAAAGACTTGTAGATACAAGTTCTTTTGGGAATATACCTAGGTGTGAAAAATTTCAAGATTTTATCAAAGCGTTGAGATGGTTTACGAATAATTTTTCGATACAAGGTTTTCGCTACTCATTATTTAAAATTGGTAAATCATGACATCATTTCGTAACTGTATGATGTGCACTTGTAAAACTGAATAAAATGTTTTAATTTGCTAATTTAATAAAGAATAAAATAAATAAACAAGAATTAGAAAAATATAAAAATAAAATCAATGGTTTAGGCTACAATAGGATAACATATGATTTAATAGTATTGTTTATGGAACGGACGTCACGAGAGTACTAATATTTTTCCATGAGTAATCGTACTTCCAAACCCAACTTTAAAAATTTGTAAATCAGTTTATTGTTTTTTAGATGAATCTAAAATCAATTTAAAATTTCATTGAATAGAACAAATTCAACAAGAAGCCAATCGCACATAAACAAAAAAGATTGGTGGCAACTCTTAACATATTTTTCCACGTCTAGCGGTCGGGTTCTCAAACTCACACGTTACGACATAAGAATCATTTGAATGATTTACCTCTTTTTTTTAAAAAAAATTATTAATTATTTTTTATTTATATTTTAATCAAATCTAAAAAAATAATATTGTCAACATCTAATATTCTTGTTTTTTTATATTTAAACTTAAAATATTAAATATAAAACTACAATGCATAAAATATAAATAGTTAAATACGAAATATAGAATTTCACACAATAGTTGAATAATATAAATAGAAAGAAGAAAGTAAAAGAAAACTTTACCTCTTCTTAATTTTACATAGTGGTGGTGAGTGATTTCTATCTTTCCTGATCCAAACTTATAAGCTCATAAATCTTTTTTAAAAAATGAGATGTGTTTCAATAACGAGTTATCGGAAAAGAAAAATAAAAATAAAAAGACACAAAAGAAAAGAGAAAAAGAAATAAAAAAGAGAAAGAAGTAAGGAGAAACTTAAATTAGACTAAAGTTAAGTAGATTTATGAAGTTTATTTTTTATTTTTTATTTATATTAATTATTAAATAAAAAATTATTTTGTGTGAGTTATTAAAAATATATAATAAATTAAATTTTTTGAAAAATTTCGGAGAAGCCATTAAAAATAAATATAAAAAATAAATATTTTTAAAAATTTTGAGGGCACCCCACCCCGCTGTTGGCTCACCCTCCGCCCCTGCTCCTCACCTTCTTCCAAAGATTACAACGATCTCTAGGTTCTCCCCCTCGACCCGATAACATTCTTAATTTAGCATGCCGGTTTGAGTCAGTTGGGCTTTCAGTTGCTTCCTTGAAGAGAGCCCACCATGTTTGTGGGCTACCTAGTTGAGGCTAGTGAAAAATCTCCCCATACATCAGCCCTGTCCACCACCGCATCTAGGCCTCGTGCTCTACCTTCAACCTCCTGAGTGATACCCACCCTCTTGTGGGCTATGTTCAAGGAGGCTCGGGCGTTCAACCTCTTTAACCTATTCGCCATATATCCTCGCCGTAATGCGCTCCTCTATCTATCTGGTAATTGCTTTAATCTCCAGTGGCCTCCAACTCTTCTTTCCCGGCATTTCAGATTGATTCATCAGACGATTTGGAAATGCTTACCCATTCATCGGTACCAGATGATGCCATTAGAATGAATAACACAATCGAGGTAAACTTCACACACAAACACATAATATTTGTCCTCCTTGATTCCCAACACTAGTTCTTCTTCAATTCTTTTGTGTCCTGTCTGTGTGTATGAGCACAGCAGCTGTGTCGACAGACAACAGATTCATTGTATCTTCTGCCAAACTATCAAATTCCCCCACATCTTAGCAATAGTTTGGAATGTGGAAAAATTCCACCCATGAATCGGTATGCCATCTGGTGAATCCAACTTCTACGTTTGCCAACCTCCACTTTTGGGGACCATTCCTCAATCTTTTCACGCCATGTTGGCGATTCAATCCATTGCTCACCTTGCATTGTATTCATCACTTCCAAGTTTTCCAAAAAAAAAACAAGAGATTTAATATCTGAGTACAGAATAGGCAGTTACAAAGTCCTTATTTCAAAATTGTAAACTAGACAGAAAAAATTAAAAACAAATACATCAAGGAGCCAACTCTTTTACAATCGGGGGAAAGCAATCCTCTTGTTTTCAGTGAAATTGGGTTGAACAAGGGAATAATACAAACTATATTGGTGGAGGAAGTGAGGAAAAGGATGGCAGGCTGTGTTTTTAGAGTATGTTGGCAAAGGCACATTCAGTTGGAAGGCCTTGGGGGAATCGCTTTGTATCTGTGCAGTAATTATACACCATGTAATTATCCTGCACCCATCTCATCTGCCCTTTCTTTGCAAAATCAAGCTCTTCCCAAAACCATGCATTTTTGTTTGGACTGCAGTAAGATGATCCGGATGACCAGACGCAAGCATCGGCATTGAGTTCCTATAGGAAGCTTTGAAAGGGGCTTGACTCCAATCTGTCTTGACGATCCACCTCTAGTTGCCCAGTCATCAGCATTCCAAAGTTGTAGTATAACCTCATTTTCTGTTTCGTCGGAAATGGAACCCCAAGAAACTCCAGGTTCTTGAACTCTCTAATGGGATGCCATCAACATAGAATCTGGCATACATTGAACATGTAATAGAATGAATATTTGTAGGAAAAATTATTCAGATTCCAGGTTTACAGTAGAATTCCTATGCATGCATCCTTACACAATCCGCTGGGGGTTCCAAAGGATGGAGTAGGTGTGAA